GAGAGAGAGAGAGAGGGAAAAGTAAACCTCCAGCCTCTGTCCAAGCTGGTGTTCCTGGCTGTGAAGTCACTGTGCACCTTACAGAGGGTGACCATTCATCTCGAATATGTCCCGGACCATGACAGCATCAGGGTTAGGCAGCAAACACGTGCTCTCTCTCACACACATTTATATATTTTATATATACACATATACATTCACAGTATTTTAAAGACGACAATGCTCAAGTTGATTTCTGACTTGTCACAAGTTTTGGGTTTAACCCCATTTCCAGGCCGGGCCCACTCTGGGGTCCTCCCTCCTCCCGCTCCCGGAGGCTGCCCAGACTCCGGCGCTCGGATTAAAGCCGACAGTCACCTGCAGCAACAACAGGGGCCGGAGGGACAGTGACTCCGGACATGGCACCACCAACAGGCCGCAACACCTCTCCGTCACCCTAATGTTTCCCCCCCCGGTAACTGGATCCTCTCAATCCGGTTCCGGCTGTACAACCTCATTCACCAGCGCTACAGCCTGAGAAAGCCCGCGGATCATCATCATCATCATCGTTATTATTAGAAATGCTGAGGGACAGGGCCACTGTTCTAACTCTCAGGGAAAGGAAAATACAAAGGAGCATTTCTTATTCAGAAAGTGCACCGCCAAGCCCCCACTTCGTGCTGTCTAAAATGACATTAGGCAGGCATTTCAATAGATTATTTTAACACCTAACAACAGGTGATTTGGCGTCAGGTGAGACCTTAAACTTCTCAGGCCTCGAGCTTTTGCTTTTAGTTTTATTTGGCAATGTGGGCAAGCCAGTAGTTTCTCCTGCATTGTCCCAATAGGATTGCAAAATATGGCACAAGGCATTACAAAAGTTGTGTTATGGGTAGTCTGATATCTGATTGTCATATTAGCAACTATTTTTGTACGTATCTTAAAAGCTTTGGTTTCCTATCTTTACTTGTGATTTGTACCAGCCATGGTGCTGGAAATTTAGCTGAAAGCTCTGAAGTCACTATTGTAGAAAACGTATGACAACAATTTCACAGCGTTTTGCAAATGGCGATGTGATGACTTTCCTGCTCCTCTGATGCTGCCTGACCTGCTGTGCTCCTCCAGCTCCACACTCTCGACCCATTTATTCTGATTTTGTTGTTTGACAATCCTTCTGGAATGGCTGGGCATCTACTGGAATCAACATCAATTTCCCACTGGTTCAAATAAAGCATTACAGGATATTTAATGCAATATTTTACATGATGCGCCTAGTGCGTTGAGCCAGTTTAATCCTCAGGAATCATCATTCTTCAATTGAGAAGCAATGCACAGCATTTTCTGGGAAACAACGTTGTTCCATCTTCTCATGGCAGGGAACTCAGCGGAACAGACTAGAACTACCAGAGGACGCTGCAGACACGGAATAAGGTTGGTGATATGACTTGTCACAAGTAAAATGATTGAGGTTGAGAGTAACAGCTATATAATGTGTGAAAGACAATAAGTTCAGTAGCAGCTCAGAGGGAGCAGCAGAAACAACCAGAGCTGGATTGGAATGGTGAATCATTACACAGCGTATCAAAAGCAGTAAGTGGGGATGGGACAGGATTTTATTTTTGTATCTGTTCATACAAACAACTCAAACCTAGAACACACACCACACTACAATTTTCTGTGACATCACTTCTGCTGATGTCTCATGCATTAAGCTGAACCAAAGTTGACAAACCTAATTGAGGGATAAATATTGACCAGAATACTGGGGATAACTTTCCTGCTGTTCTTCAAAATAGTAATATGGGTTTCATTGGAACATAGTACTCAGGAGTTGGAGTAGGCCATTCAGCCCTTTGAGTCTAGTCTGTCATATACAAGCATGGTTTATCTGGTTGTGGTCTCAACTCCACCTTCCTGTTCACCCTGCCCAAAATATGAAGTGATTAAGCTAGGCAATTTTTTGGTTCTTTACCATAAAGTGGAATAGGCTAGTAAAGGCTTAATGGGACTCTGGGAATTGGATACGTATACAGGCAAAGACAGCAAACTGCTGGAAATACTTATATGAAGGGTAAATTTCTTGAAGTCCCCAAAGCCTGTTCATCATCTTTAAGGTGAAGTCAGGAGAGTGATGGAATATTTCCCATTTGCAGCTCCCACAAGACTCATGAACCTTGACATCATTCAGGGCAAAGCAGCCCACTTGATTGGCAGCACATTCACAAATGTTCAATCCTCCACCACTAACACTCAGTTGCAGCAGTGTGTACCATCTACAAGATGCACTGAAGAAATTCATCAAGGCTCCTTTAGCACCTTCAAAAACCACAACCGTTTTTATCCAGAAGGTCCTGCCATTCACCTCTTCATCAATTTCTATCCAAATGATCACTTGTTATTTGCAGCATCTTGAGTGTTGTTTCATCTCTCCTGTGTTGAGAGCGTGGTGCCCCACAGCTCTCAAGAATTCACTTTGATTCTCTTCAGTTTTTTTTAATTCAATTCCTCAAATTGTCATTTAGATGTTTGAACTCTAATTCCCTGGATTTTACTATTATAAGATAGGCTATCAGTCCTGGAATTCCTATTATTCCGAGTAGCATTCTTCATTCTCCCCTCTCAAAAAAAAGTATCCTTACATTGGATTCAGCATTCGATGTAGCGATGGCACATAAAAGAACAGTTTATCACCTCGTTACTGTGGTATTTCCATTTCACGCTGCAAACCATTTCAGCATCTGATCCTGATTGAAACTGCAGTGCAAGTTCTGCCAGTTTGCCAATAAGTGCAGTTGACTGAATCAAATTAATTCTACTTTGAATTAGAATTAGGTTTTATTGTCACTTTGCATATAAAACTTCACAAGTCACCAATAGACATGTCACACTGGTACAAAAACTATACATAGGGGAACTTGGTATAAAGCTGCAATTTACAATCTGATATTTTGCAGCCTCAATTTATTATATTCTAGAACTTACTACATGCTGAGTGACATTGACTCTTTCCAATTACTACAAAGCAGTGTGGGAAAATAGGAATGTACATGTGTGTGAATTATTTTCTGAGGATAGGATTATGTTTGGCTTTGAAGCTCCTTTGGATGCTTGAATAGTGTGTTGATACACATTAAAACTCTTAACGTGGGGGAAAAATAACTTCTTGATTGAGGCACCAGAAGACTGCTGGTGTGTCTAAAACCTTATCTAGCAGTATTAAAACTTTTAATGAGTACAGGGATGAAATTTGAGATAAAATGCTCAACAGTGCTCTACAAAGATGCCTTAATCAACTAGTAGTGTCCTTTCTTGCTGTGAACGTTTTGTAAAAATTTGGGGCTGCAAGAATTTTAGTGTGAGTCAGGGTTTCCTGTCCATAATTTAGAAAGAGTTGGGCTATCAGAAAAAAAATTGTAAAACTCATTTGGAAGAGCTGGGTGCATGCCTGTTAACTCTTAACTGTTTTTTCATGGGCGTGCGATAGGTTGGATAGGGTAGCTGTATCATGTGACCCTAGCCCTCAACTGTTGCAAAACATGTATTTCAAAATTTAGTTCTATTATATATTTTCTGCACAACTGTAGTATATTTGTATTCCACATAGGTATCATTGTCGATCATCCAACTTCACATTAACTTTTACAACTTTAAAAGATAGGTAAAGTTCAATAAAATGAGGTATCGTACAAAATAATTTCCAGTAGTTCAGTGTGAAAGAACATTGACCATCCATATGATCATTATAATTTCTATAAGTTAAATAATTGAACTATATACACACATTTGTGCAATGCATTAAATTGTACAAAACAAAACACTACATTTTCAGATACTTTAAAGTACTGTTTCTACAATGTACAAATTCAGAATTTTAGTTATGCACGAATCAGTATTCATTAATTCATATTATTCTGAGAAGGGATGGAGTTTTGCTACTGCAGTGAATAATCAGGATTATATTGTGCAGTGGTAAGACATAAAAACTTGAAATCCTCTTTTCAGGAAAATGTCACTGGAAATAGTCTAAGAGCTCATCTGAATTTGGTTGCTTCTCATTCAACACAGATAGCTGAGACAAATCCACCAGCCTTTTGGAGTCTTTATTTGTCAGAATGCACAATCTCTGTCAGTAATTGAGCAAAGCCTAGAGGCACTCACCGAGTCCTCATTGGCATATTGTTCGCCAATAGATTTGGTACTTAAGACACAAGTTCATTTCCATATAAAGAGATGCTAAATGGACAGATCTATTTGGGTGTCAAAGAATGTGCAGACCTCAGCAGTGATGCTAAATTTAAAAACAAAAGCCAACTAACAGATTAAGTTAGAGAGTGAATGCAGTCTTGTAAGTAATGATAATTTATTACGGAGCTGACATACAGGATCAACACAAAGCAGTGATTTTAAAAAGTGTTAGTTTTT